TGAAGGGTAAACAAAGGAGGAGGCTGCAATGCTTGGTAAGAAATGTACGCATTATCCTGCCCATGCAATTGTAACCCCTCTGTACAGTATTTTCACAAATAAAAGTATTTCTGCTGGTGGGTGGTGGCTCACACTGTAATCCTAGCTACTCTGGAGACCTGGAGGATCTGAGAAATCAGTGGTTCAAAGTCAGCATGGGGAAGAACAGTTTCCAAAGTTTTTTTTTAAAAAAAGTTACTTCCTAATTGCACTTTATGACTTGTCTGAGAATAGCTGCATTGACTCTGGCAACATAATCATTTTGTGTGTGTGTGTGTGTGTGTGTGTGTGTGTGCGCGCGCATGCTCACGCGCTGTTATAGCTGGTATAGCCCTTGTTCAGCTTCCTTGCTCACGGCTGATGCTGTACCACCGGAGCCACACCTGCAGTTTGGCATTTTTGCTGGTTAGTCGAGTCCCTTGGACTTTTGTCCTGGCTGGCTTTGAACCACCATCCTCAGATCTCAGGTAGGATCTCTTGCTAGGATTGTGTGAGCCGCCAGCACCCAGATACATGGTGCTTCTTTTTAGTATCACTTATCCCAGGGACAAAAAAATGAACTGTTAGGAAAAGTTGTGTCACTTCCCGTTTGTACGTTAATGGGGCAGAGTTCAAATCATATCTGTGACCCCCCCTGGGGCCTCAGTGTTTGGCTTTGGTATAGTTTGCTATTAAGGAACCTGGGAGACATCTTGAGCTTAGAGAAGGAAGCAATCAAGCTGCCTGGCTGAGAAAATTCCCACCCCGCCCCATTGTCTTGCCTTTTGGCCAGGAAATGATTGCAAGGGGGGTGGGGCTCGGCATCAGATGACAGTAACTCTGAAAAGACCAGGAACAACCGGCCCTGCGGTGACATATGGACCAGCAGTGTGGAGTCCTGGGATCCCTGCATGTGGGTGTGCAACACGACCCCCTGGCCTGGGGCCTCCTTCCAGGGAGACACATCCAACAGCCAAGAACACGGTTGGACTTACCAGTAGGTGCCTGGCACCTGACAGCACTGTGGTAGGGAAGGCCACTTGTCCTCTCCACCCGATGCTGCTTCTCAGAGTGGGCTCCTGACAGCCAGCGGGGGTGCAGCCTCACCAAGGCTTCAGCCGACTCCTCGGACTCGGACTCGCGGTGCAGGTTGTGCAGGCTGTGCAGACTCTACATTCCAGCTCCTTCACCACCTGGCCTCTGCTTCCGCTGTTAAAGGGGCCCTGTTAAAGGGGCCCGGCTACCCCTGGGACAGATCCTCAGCCGGGGTGCTCACTAGAGGAAACTCACCAGACGGAACTTGCTTGTGGTCATGGCTCAAGGCTGTTTTCCCTGTCTGAGTGTTAGAAAAGAAACATGAAGGGTTGGTGTGGCGGAACACACCTGTATCCAGCGCTGGTGAGGCCAGTGAGCTTGAGGCCAGCAATACTACTGTCTTCAGAAAATAAAAACAAACCAAAGTTAATCCAAAAAGGAAAAAAAAGGAAGCAAGAAAGGAGTAAAAAAGGAAGAAGGTGAGATTCAGGGTTTAAGGGGCCTCAAAATGTTAACTTTTAAATAAAAACGCAGCTCGTTTTTAGCTATAGGAAGACGCTGGGAATAGAAAGTTGCACAATCATTAAATCTTTTATTTACATATAGAAATTAGCAAAACTCAAAACAAAACCAAATGCAACTTGTACAGAAATCCTTTAATTTTCTTTATTTTCACACATTAAAAAATGAAACACACTATACAAATGGGTTTTCATAGCAGATCACAGCGGGTCCGTTCAGCTGGCGCAAGGCGCTGCTCAGTGGCAGCTGGAACCAGGCGGCCAGGGGATTGATTTAAAAGCAGACGCATGCAGCCCTCAGCATGGAAGTCACTTCCCCTCGGTTCTTAAATTAGGTTAAATGGCGTTGGTGTTGTATTTACAGACTTGAAATGTGTCAGTCCTGAGCAGTTCTGCTGAAAGTCCGGGACCAGCTGATGGGAGCCCGGGACTCCGTTTATCAAGGGAGGCCCACGTGGCGGCAGGCTGGCTGCTATGAACTCGAGTTGCTCTCCTCTCCACTGGAACTAATTTCTGTGGGTCCCACAGACCCTTCTAGAAGTGTTAAGCCAAGTAACTGTAGGTGTCCTTTTCACCATCAACTCGCTCCAAATATTCTTTCTCAATGAGAATGTCGATGCATTTCTAGGCATTAGGTTGGAGAAGGAAAGGGAAGGGGAGGGAAGAAAAAACATCCGTGAGAACAGAAGGTCACATCACCACCGCAGCCCTCTGCTCTCAGCAGGGGGCCAATGGACCCCATTTCTGCTTCCCTGGAGTTTTGCTGACCATGTAAATGCTGCTTTCTCAATTGGAGGACACTTTTTTTTGGGGGGGGGCAGTCTTGGGGCTTGAACTCAGGGCCTGGGCACCATCCCTGTGCTTCTTTTGCTCAAGGCTATCACTCTACCACTTGAGCCACAGAGCCACTTCCAGCTTTCTCTGTGTATGCAGTACTGAGGAATGGAACCCAGGGCTTCATGCATGCTAGGCAAGCACTCTACCACTAAGCCACCTTCCTAGCCCCTTGGTTTCTCAAATGGAGTCCCTTCAAATGTTCCCCAGCAGGCACCCTAGAACAGGGCTCAGGAGCCACGGCCCTGGCACATTAGCAGCAGGTAGGTAAAGAAGACTAGCATGTTCAGAACACGGACTAGCTCTGAGATGCAAACAGTCTTGCCACAGCTAGACACTGCAGTCTGGACGCCGCGCCCATCACAGCGCAGAACCCGTTCTTACCAGGCCCAGGAGAGAGTTTTTTACAAGCTGTACAAAGCATGCCAAAAACATGCCACAGAGGCAGCTGTGTGGTCGCAAGTAAGGGTGGCAGCTGCTGGGGCCTCTGATTGGAGGGGAGCGGAGGGGCAGGGCGAGGAGGGGTGGAAAGGATGCGGGTGACCCCATAGCCTTTGGCGCTGGCTACCCGAGCATGTTTATGAAAATCAATACTTTGGATTTGTGCACCTCTCTACAGAGATGTCAGTCCAAGTGACAAGCATATTTTCCTTTGTAGAAACCTATACATAAGAAACCTATCGTATCATCTATTAAATAAGCCAATTTCCTTCATGAATAGCAGCGGGCCAGCTTTTCTCTTCTAACATGAGAACTCAACACTAGTGCCGCAAGCTTTCTTACCTTGATCACGGGGACCCGAGGCTTGAACCTGGAGGACAGCTGCGTGAGGACTTCGCCCAGGAGCTGCTGGTGTTTTAGGACCTTCCTCATCTTCATGATTCTCACGATGGCCGCCTAGAGACCAATGAAGAGCGTGGAGTTTACAGGTGCGCACTCACCGGAGGCAGGGTGACAAGGCCCTCAAAGGGTCTCAGGTGGGCAGCAGAAGGGGACGGGAGCTAACTCTACTTACCTGTGTTTCAAGTCGAATGTCACAAACACCCTCCCCTGACCTTTCAACCTGCCACACCCACTTGCTCCTCCAGGGACCAGCGTCCTGGCTCCCGGCCAGGCCAGCCCTCCCCACACCACGGCCCATCCGGGCGAGCTGCCCGCACAACACAGATGTGCAGCCACCTGAATCAAGAGCTTGCGGTCTTCCTCGATGTTCTTGTGCGTGGTTTCTTGTTCCTGCTTCTGCTCAGTTTTCATTGGCACATTGATGTTAACCCTTAATTTCTTACTGTCAAGAAAATGGAGGAAACAAGTCACTGTGACTTTTAAAGGCAGGCTGGCAGGCTGCCCCCTCTCCATGTTGTGAAGGGCCTGGCCCCGCTGGACAGGAGCGGGAGGTGTCATGCATTTCTTCCAACCTCCCCCCAGGCCCTGAGCTCAGTCTCCAGGGGCTGCCTGCCTTGCTGAGCGTGGCTGGAGCAGCACTGGCAGCGCAGGAGAGCCTGCTCCTTAACTCCCAGGCTTTGTCATGTGTAAGAAAACCAAGACACTTGGATATAAAGGCTAAAAGACTTGAAGGGAACCGTTTAAGAATTCCTGGTTCTTAAATAAAGAGCAAACCAAAACACAAGCATCAAATGAAGAAGCATCTAGAACCACCAAGTAGCCTACCCAGCCCTGCATGCAGCTTACAGTGCCCTTTGGTTTGTGCCCAGGGTGTCAGGGTAAGTCAATGGTCTAGGCCCATCTTTTTATTAATTTTTCTTACTTTTTATAACCAAGAAATAGCTTTATTAAGGTATCTGGCTTCAATTCCACTTCATCAACATTTGCATTTTCATCTTCTAAGACCTAGAAGGAAATAACTGTTATTAGATAAGTCACAGGCAGTCTTTCTTCTGGCTTAGCGTACAAAGTGCACGAACATACCAGTAACTTGGACTTCAATAAGATCTGTAGGACTTGTGCCAAAATGTCCTGCAATGGAAAGAAAGAGAGAGAGCATTAGAGGAATGGCGGCTCCTTTCTGCAGCTCTCCACGTGCCACAGTGCTGCCCCCCCCCCCCTCTTCTCTCCTCTCCAATTCCCCCCCCCCCCCCCCCCCCCCCCCCCCCCCCCCCCCCCCCCCAAACACACCAGCATGTGCTCTAAGGACAGAGCTGCTTCCATTCCTCCCTTCAACCCTTTCTGGCCTTCACCACCCACACATAAAAATCAACCTAGGTGCTCTACCACTGGGCTGCGCGTAAGCACATTCAAGTCCTGGGGAGCATCAGCAGGACTGAAAACCCAGCTCTGCTCGTGAGCCCGCTGGGCTCAGAGGCAGGGGCTGGTGCTTGGGTGGCTTGTCGGTGGCGGGGTCTGATCATTTCTGGAGGTATTAGCCTCAGGGGCACTTCCTCAGCAAGGACAGGCAGAGGCAAGTCTCTGACCCAGAGATTGGGCGCTCATCCAGTGGAGGACACGCAGTGAGCAGGCAGGGTGCTGGCTCTAGCGCTGGCCCACTTCCCCTACTAGGAGTAGCTCTGAGGCACGGCGGAGAGCATGGCGTCCCATGCGAAACCCAAGCAGACACTGGCATGGCAGGCTTAGAAAGGCAAGAATTCATTACACAAGCATACCACCCGCCTGACCTGTACACAAGCACTCAGCCCTGTACACAAGAGGACACACACAAGCACACTCAGTCTTGTATACAAGAGGACACACACAAGCACACTCAGCCCTGTACACAAGAGGACACACACAAGCACACTCAGTCTTGTACACAAGTGGGCATTAGTCAAGAGCATCGTGAGCCTGCACATGGGCCCAACGTGTGGAACCTTCTCCAAAAGTCTGGAAGCAACCTAAGCCTCCCAGCAAAGCCAAGCCTTTGATCAACCTAAGCCTCCCAGCAAAGCCAAGCCTTTCATCATTCTGGTTCGGGAGAAGGAGAATCAGGAAAAAACCTGTCCATTCCAAGGGGAAAATCATCTGGTTATTAGAAATTGAAGGTTTATTTGGGAGTAACATGAAAAAATACCATAAAATAAAGGATTTTCCTGACTCACAGTTCCCAACTTTGTTGAACATTTTTCAAAATCGCGTTACCTATTCTGGTTCCCTTATACTGGCAAATAAATTCAGAACTGGCTTGTCCATTTCTACAAAAAAGTCAGCTTGACACTTTCTTGAATCCTATAACCTCGACACCGATGGCGTCAAGAAAATATTTACAATTTCTTAATATACAACCATATCATCTGTAAATGCAAAGTTTCAGATTTAAAACTTCTGGATTACGGATGTTCAACGGGTGAGGCCTATGCAAATACTCTAGAATTTCAAAATTTGCCAAATTAGAAATACTGCAACTATTTCTGGTCCCAATCATCTCGAAGAGAGGAATCCAACCCATAATTTGCTCTCAGGTTTCACAGTTATATTGATAAAATATGTTGGTCTTTTGTTTGCTCCTTTTTATTAGCTTTCATTAGTGTTACAGGAAGGACTTTATGATTTTATTTGCACGTTTGCAGAGTATTCCAATCAATCTCCCTACCTCCATCACGCCTGGCTCTCGGTTACTGTCTCCTTTTGATCTTGTTTCAGGGTCAGGGTATGTTTTTGCCCCCAGCCCAGTGAGCCAGCTCTGCGGGTTATACACTATGCTAGGTTTTTCTCCAGAATGGAACAAATTCATGTTCATGGTGCAAACACCCATACCTCTGCTACAATGTCCACAAGAACAAGGGAATGGCAGCTGGCTACAGAGAGATTGTGAAATGATGAGTACCATTTTGATCTGCGTGCTGTCGGTGAGCTGTTGCACGGTGTAGGCGTCCTCCGTGTTGTACTGAAGCAGGATCGCCATCTGGAACGTGGACGCCTGGGAGGCCCCGCAGAGAAGAGAAGAAACATTCACACATGAGGAGGCGCCACAGTGTGTATAGCTTAAGTTTATGAATCAAATGCTTCTAACAGAGGCAAAAAATAAGGAACACAAAGTTAAGGTTCTCTTAAGAGAACACAAAGTTATTGAAGTGAAAGACCTGAGTGCAGAATTTTAATATACACTGACTTTAGTCCTTCATTATGAATACGTAAAGTAAGGTAAAAAACAAGCAAAGGGGTCCAGGATCGTGGTTTGAGGCCAGCCCAGCAAAAGGCTCACAAGATGCCCGCGGGCATGGGGGCTTGAGCCGACTTGGGAGACTGAGATGAAGGGAATCTTAGTTCCAGGCCAGTACTGGGGGAAAGGGGAGTGGCCAGGGGAGCAGGGTTCAAATAATGGAAGGGCACCAGGGAAGCCCAAGCCTGTCTGGCATGAAGTGAAATCCTACTTCAAAAAGATCAATGCGGCCAGATGCTGGTGGCTCATGCCTGGAATCCTAGCTACTCAGGAAGTAAGATCTGAGGATCTTGGTTTGAGTCTCTGAGACTCTTATCTCCAATAAACTACCAAGTGGTAATGTGCTAGCCTTGAGCAAAAAAGCTCAGGGACAGAGTCCAGGCTCTGAGTTTGTCTCAGGACAGGGGCACACATGCACACACATATGCACACAAATGGTGGAGGCATGGCTCAAGTGACAGAGGGGGAAACTCTCAGTGCTATCCCAACTAGCATGCAAAAAAAGGTGGCTGAGACTCCGTCTCCACCTATAAGCTAGGTGCCGTGATGTCTCCAGCCATGTCAGCTACTTGAAAAGCAGAGGTGGTAGGATTGTGAGCTCAGACTGGTTTGAACAAGTATAAGACCCTAACTGTAAAAGCAAACTAAAGGAAAAAGGGCAGGAGGCATGGCTCCATCAAGTACAAACTACATATAGCCATTTAAAGAAAAGAGGTGGGGGCTGGGAAGGTGGCTCAGTGGTAGAGTGCTTGCCTTGCATGCCTGAGGCCCTGGGTTCGATTCCTCAGCATCACATAAGCAAAAAGAAAAAAGCCGGAAGTGGCACTGTGGCTCAAGTGGTAAAGCGCTAGCCTTGAGCTGAAGAGCTGAGGGACAGCGCTCAAGCCCAGAGTTCAGGCCCCACGACTGGACAAAAAAAAAAAGAAAGAAAGAAAGAAAGAAAAGCAAAGAGGTGGACACCAGTGGTTCACGCCTCTATCCCTAGCTACTCAGGAGGCTGAGACCTGAGGATTGCTGTTAACCAGTCCAGGCACACAAATTCTCAAGACAACTCTTATTTCTGATCAACTAGCAAAAAGCTAGATATGGCAGCATGGCTCAAATGGTAGAGTGCCATCCAAGAGAGGAAAAAGCTGAGTGAGAGTGTGAGGCCAAGTTTAAGGCACTAAAAAAACAAAGAGAGAGAAGAGAGAAATGGTGTACGGCAACCATGATGGCCACTTCTCACTAACGTATGTAGCAGGCAGTGCAGGCTGGCTCTGTCACTTGGTTTGCTCACTGGGCTTCCCTACTTTCTTCTCTTAAAGACCCACCACCACAAGTAATGAGCCAGCACTTGCCTAGGCAAGATTGTGAAGAAATAGTGAAGATACAGTCACCCAGGATGCCTGTTTTAGAGTATATCACATGGCAGACTGAAGGATGCTAGTCAGAATATGGAGGGGGAAAAAGCAAGACTCTGTAAAAAGGCGAATAGGGTGCCCGTGAAGAAAGGTCACTACGATCTATCTTCCCAACAGCAATGACCCAAATCAAAACAAACTCTGTATATCTGCCACAGTGCAAACTGTAGTGCTTAAAATACATGCCTTTTACAGTATGAAAAGAAAATCAATGATGGCCAGGTGTCCATGGCTCATACCTGTCAGCCTAGCTACTCCAAAGGCTGAGATCTGAGGATCACAGTTTAAAGCCAGCCAGGGGAGGAAAGTCTGTGAGATTCTTATCTCCAATTAACCACAGAAAAGGTGAAAGTGGAGATGTGGCTCATGTCTAATCCTAGCTACTCAGGAGGCTGAGAACTGGGATGGTGGTTCAAAGCCAGCTTGGGCAGGAAAGTCCGTGAGACTCTTATCTCCAATAAACCACCTGAAAACCAGAAGTGGCGCTGTGGCTCACGTGGTAGCTGGAGAGCTAAGGAACAGCGCCCAGGCCCAGAGTTCAAGTCCCATGACTGACCGAAAACAACAACAACCAAAAATCCTCAGACACAGTACTTAGGACCTGAGTTCAAATCCCAGTATTGGTACAGACACACACACACACACACAAAGCAAGACACAGTACCTACGACCTGAGTTCAAATCCCAGTATTGGTACAGACACACACACACACACACACACACACACACACACACACACACAAGCAAGACACAGTACCTACGACCTGAGTTCAAATCCCAGTGTTGGTACAGACACACACACACACACACACACACACACACACACACACACACACACACACAGAAAAACAAAGCAAAAAAAAACCCTCTGCTGTCATTGTGTGTGTGTGAGTCATGAGACTTGAACTCTGGGTCTGGGCTCTTTAGTTCAAGAATAGAGCTCTACCACTTGAGCCACAGTGCCATTTCTGGTAGTTAATTTAAGAGTCTCATGAACTCTGCTGCCCAGGCTGGCTTTGAACCTCAATCCTCAGATCTCAGCCTCCTGAGTAGTTAGGATTACAGGTAGTGAGCCACTGGTGCCTGGCCTGCTGTCAAAATTTTTGAAGAATCGAATCCCAAACAATTTGGTGCAAAGTGCCTTCCCTGCTCTTGTCTTAATGCCACCAGCAGGAACAAGCGCCCACTTCCGGCATTTCACACAGAGCCAGGAGTGGCTGGCATGGCTGGCAGCGGACAGGCCCTGTGTTAAACTCTTCCTTGAGCAGAAAAAGGAACAGATGCATTGGGTATGACAGACTACACACAAGGAGTCTTCTATGTGAATTTGTAAAACCAACTCCAGTTGTCTAATCATGAGACATTCTTGTTGAAAAAGATCTCTGGACCCCGTTCCTGTACCTTAACTGCTTTAATGACTCAAAGTCTCAATGAATGGGCATTCTGAGCATGCTGAACCCAGCCTGAAGTCTCTTAACACCCAAAGAGTTACAACAGACTACAAGTTTACCCATGAGCCCTTGCAAACACTGAATACATTACACGGTTATTTGTCAAGTCCGCCAAGTACAAACTTGAGGTGGAAAGAATCTGGATTTTTTTTTTTTTTGTGCATACTAGGGCTTGACCTCAGGATCTCCAGCTCTCACTCGGCTTTCTTTGCTCACAGTTGGTACTCTATCGTTTAAGCCACACCTCCAGCCCAGTATTTTGCTGGTTAATTGAACATGGAGCCTCAGGACTTTTCTGCCTGGGTTGTCTCTGGGCTCTTCCAGATCTCAGCCACTAGTAGCTAGGATTGCATCACAGGTGTGAGCTGCCGACACCTGGCGAAGCTGGGCTGGTTAAAGACAAAAGAGCTCAGTTGAAACTTTGGCTTTACCACACATGAACTAAGACGCGGTCGCGTGGGTTAAACAGAACTAATTTTTCTCATCCACAAACTGAAAACACCATGAGTACTGCCACAATTATCATCTAGTACTTAGAACTGCAAGAACAAGGAGTTCTTATTAATGTGAAAATGCTGTCAAAGAAAAAAAGGATGGCAGAGCTGAGTAGATGCAGTGCCAGCCTTTTAAGCCTACCTCCTGGCAAGAGCCATGCGAACACTTACTAAGAACATTATTCTTCTAATTCTCTCCTCACCGCTGAGCTTTAATATGCCCATTTGATAGAGAGGACTGAGGCTCAGAGTTATCAAGTAACTACCCCGTCCCCTTAGCCAGTAGAATTAGACTCAGCTCATCTGACTTCATTAAAAAAAGCTTTTTTTTGGTGCTGGTCCTGTGGCTTGAAATCAGGCCTGGAAACTGTTACTGGGCTTTTTTGCTGAAGACTAGTGCTCCACCACTTGAGCTACAGCACCACTTCCAGCTTTTTGGGAATTCATTGGAGACAAGAGTCTCACAGACTTTCTAGCTTGGGCTAGCTTCAAACTATGAACCTCAGATCTCAGCTTACTGAGTAGCTAGGGTAACAGTGTGAGCCACGGGCACAGTCTGACTGTATTGCACCAAAAGCTTGAACTCTACATTCTGGTACAAGAGTAACTTGATTATTTCTATAATTTGTCTTATGTTCATTTAGAATTACTTTTTTCTTTTCAAAAAGAAAAGGTTATCTTACCTGCAAAGTGTATCTGTTTTTGAAGCAGTTTGTTACCAATTCTCCTTTAGATAACTGATACAACCATGTCAACTTTCTGCCACTGTGCCGGCTGGCATAGAAGGCTGTGAACCGCTGGTAACTGCGCTCCAACTGCACAGAAGGACAGCGTTATGTGGACTCCATCAGCCCTCACGTTCCACGCCCAGCCGTGCTAATAAAGCGCCTTGCCCTAGGTTTACAGTACAAAGTGAGTGTCCTTCCTGAGCAATGGGGTGAATGGAGACACGGCCATGCTCCGGGCCCAGCAGAAGCCATTAAGCGCTCAATAGAGAACAAATTAGGTTCTTTTTAAAGAGTAAACGGACATGCTCTGCTGACTGGGACAGAAATGACCACCTTCAGCTGTCTAACCAGTCTGCTCCGCCATCACCCTCCAGGGCTAAATGCTGCCCTGTCTGCTCAGCATAGAGGCCAGCGCCCTGCAGGAAGGCTTCTGCAGAAGCCACGGCTATGACCACAAATGGACAGGCTGCCCGTTCCTTCCCAGCCTTACCTCGGATGGCAAGGCGAATGTGCAAGATTGTTGAAAGGGCCATGACCCGGAACTCAGAACTTGAATACTGAAATCCACTGGGAGGTCGGCGAAGGTGTTGGGAGAAAATTCCAGAACATATTTAATTAGTCTTAGAAACTGAAAAATTCTGTCATTCCAGTGACATGCAGAGAAGTGTTCTTTATTAAAAGAAAATACATGAAATTAAAAATCCTGCTTGAATAGAAAAGGAAGAAGTGAGCACAGTTTTAACTCCTTCAGTTAAAGGGGAAGCCATGTATGTGGAGGGCATTGCCCGTCACGCGGGAGTCTGAGGATGGCCGGAGCCACAGGGAGAACTCCTGGGTCAAACCGAGGCATAGCACAATGGCTCCCAACACAAGGACCCGCAAAGCTCCCAAGTGCAGCGTGTGGACTCTACACAGGGCCAGAGCACGGCTCGAGAACGCCGGCACCAAACCCCAGCACCCTCCCCACAAACAAAGCACACCCTGACATAGACATTCATAACCTAGGAATTAAAACAATCATTTCATCTTAGCAGATGGCTGGAAAGTTCAGTGGCAAAGCAGTGAAGCTAAACAAGGAGATAGCACTTTGGATTCAGGAGAGGAAAACTTTGTTTTTCATATAAAAGACAAAATTTCATCACATGATGATGGCATAAACTTGCCACCCCATGACTGCAGCCAATCTTAAAATACCAGTCCTGTCACCTCTCTGCAGAGAGCATCACTCAAGCCACATTCAGTTTTTGGTTTGTGTCTACACAGCCCAAAGAGTTTCTTTTTTTTGGTCCGGTTGTGGGGCCTGAACTCGGACTGGGCGCTGTCCCTCAGCTCTTCAGCTCAAGGCTAGCGCTCTACCACTTGAGCGTCAGCCCCACTTCCGGCTTTTTCTGCTTATGTGGTGCTGAGGAATCAAACCCAGGGCCTCATGCATGTAAGGCAAGCACTCTACCACTGAGCCACCTTCCTAGCCCCCTAAAGAGTTTCTAATAATAATAAAAATAAAAAGCCTGTGCCAGTAGCTCATGCCTATAATCCTAGCTACTCAAGAGGCTGAGATCCATGGACTGTGGTTGGAAGCCAGCCCAGGCAGGGAAATTTGTGAGACTATTACTGCAATTAACCACCAAAAAGCTGTAGCTCAAGTGGTAGAGCACTAGCCTGCAGCAAAGAAAGCTTAGTGACAGCGCCCAGGCCCTGATTTCAAGCCCTGGCACCAGCACAAACACAAAAAGGACCAAAATCCAGAATGGACCCAAACTAAGGATCAAAAGAAGGTAAGGCAAAATAAGCCACGCATGTGCTGTCCGTGTGGGATGATCATGAGAAGTCTGAACTTGGGACCCAGATGCAAGTGACCTGCTGGCCTCCGGCTCCCAACCACATGAACCCTCATTCTGGCAAGGCTATCATCCAACACACCCCTTGGAAGTCAGGAAGGGTGGGGCACTGGGGAGGCACTTCCTGCTGCTTGACAGACCATTGACCTTCCACACTTCAAGTTCCATCGTTTCTCTCATCTGCTGCAAGGAACCCCTGCAGAAGTAGCCACAGACCCTGGATACTCACAGTCGAGTGGTTCAGAATTTGTTAGGTGCTTTTTGAACTGTTCATTCAAATCTTTGCTTACACCAATGTCTTGAAACATTCGTTGAAGTTTGGAGGTATACTCAAAACCACAAGCTTGCTGAAATAAATCCAGAGAACACTTACTAATTTTACAGCATATTCATGTTTACAAGGAATCTTAAAGAAGTCACATTATAGCACATATGCTTAATTGTGTGGTATTAAATAAAGTTATTTTTTATGCTATACACATGTACTGATTAAAATCAACATTAATGAAAATAATTAACATCTGAACAGCTAAATCTCCTAACACAATAATCACGATTCAAGCACCTCAGGAGCAAGGCATTCTATTACTGTGGTAGAATACTAACAAGTAATTCGTCTCTTATCCCAAGACTATAGACTGAACTCCTCGGCCTGTCCAGGTGGGTCCTGGAGAGGTCAGGAGGGTGGGGCACAGACTGAATGGGCTTCAGAGGAGACAGAAGAGAGCTCTACTAGCACTCTACCAGCGACAAAGCTCACCAGCAACCCCAGGAGCCACACTGATTTTGGACTTCTGGGAGACTCAGTCTGTTGTTTGAGCCACCCAGCCCATGGTATTTTGTTTTGGCAGTTTGAGCTGACTAAGATACGCACTGAGTCTAGGTCAAAGTGGAATATGCTCTGAGGCATATATGACAACACCAAAACACACGGACGGACAAAGGAGGCAGAACAAAGGACAGCAGCAAAGGAACACCAGGGCCTCTGCTCCACCCACAGGAAACAAACCCAGAGCAAATCAACTGCTAGTCCACTCACAGGGACTAGAGCTATGTCCCAGGTATGTCCACAGCAGGACTGGGCACAACAGAACGGCCCAAAGAGGGCTTGGCCAAGGTAGAAGGCACTGGCGGCCCCACAGGAGACCTGCTCAGCGTGGCAGGTTTCCAGCACGGGAGCAGCTGAACACGTGCTGTACAACTCCTCTGCCAAGGACAACCCAGGGAAACCAACAACCACATTCACAAGGCCTGCGGGCGGAAGCAGAAGCTCACCTTCAGCTTGGAGATCATGCTCGCCTCAGCATCGTCACTCGCACTGTTCTGGTGCACAAGTCTCTTGGCCAGCATCTTTGCATAGAACTTCTGGAACACATCCTTGTCCTCTATGTACTTGAACACGACCATCTGGTTAAGTCAAGAAAACACAGGAGTGAAGCACACACCTGGCGCCAAGGCATGCCTAGTTCGGGCGGGGTCTGTGTGCCATTGGATATGATGGCACACATCCTGCCCCAAAGGATTTATAGTACGTATGTCTATCCATCCCTCAAGCCACAGTAAGCTGGATCAATGAGGGTAGTACTAATGTAACGCCCTGGCTAAGCAGCCTCATAAGCGTGTGTGGCAGGAGCAGCTATGGAACACGTGCACAGTTGGGGGGCACCTTACCACTTGATTGAGCGTGTCTTCTAATTCTGCCTCTTCTGGGTTCTTGGAACTGAAATTTAAAGATACTGTTTTAAAACAAATGAGTAGATCGTTATACAAGCACCACATGGTCAAAATGCCACACTGGAGTGTGGTTCCAAGCGTTCAGATGATCGATTCTCCTTGGATCAGGCCATGGGGAAGGGAGGGTGACTCCTTACCATGCAATTTAGCAATCTTACACTGTCATGAAAGAATACACCATGAGACACTCATGAACATGTCCAAGGTGATAACTAGGAGTTTGACTCCAACAGCAGAGGACCTGCCTGGAAAACACCAGGTCCTAAGTCCATACCCTCCCCAGCTGGAGGGAAGGGAGGGGGCGATAGAGGGAGTGAGAGAGAAAGAGGGAAAGAGGAGGGAAGAGGGGAGAGGGGGAGAGATCCAAGGTGAAAACCAATGAAGATATTTTAAAATCTTCATGAATTATGGATGACATTTTCCTTTAACCCATTTAAACATTAGCAAATAATCTTAATTTCCCAACTCCTTTGTAGAGCTCATTATAATCAACTTTGGGTAGCAGATATATTCTAGTCTGACGATTGAAGTGTGTTCTTTCTGAGCCACAGACCAGTATGATGACTGGACAAAGCCTCATCACAGGACCGACAAAAGAGTGGAAAGCACAGGGAGCTGGGAGGAAGCAGGGTTGGGTTTCTGTATACACTGTGTAAAAGTTCCTGTCATAACTCCTGAGAAGAGGGCCACACTATTCTACCTACTGCATACAGCGATCCCAAACTGGGTGGTGGTATTAAAATGGAAATGTGCTCTAATAATAATAAAAAAACACCTGCTGTTTTACAAGGAAGAAAAAATAAGCAGACGCAGTTTCATTTTATGTGTGTTTATCATGGTGCCAGGGCTTGAACTCAAGACCTCATGCTTTTGCGTGGCTTTCTTGCTCATGGCGTGTGCTACCACTTGAGCCACCTCTCTAGTCTGATATTTTGCTAGTTAACTGGAGATGGAGTCCGATGCACTTTTCTGTCCAGGTTGGCTTCAATCCATGATCCTCGAGGCCTTAACCTCCTGACTAGCTACTGCTCCTGGCCATAGTTTCCTTTTAATGGCCTAATAATGAAAAGATTTAAGCCATGACTGAAGTGCCATCTTCTGTTTGCTCTTTGTGTGTGTGTATGTGTGCTTGCACACGCATTGGTCCTGGGGGCTGGAATTCAGGGCTTGGAAGCTGTTCATGAGCTTTTTGCTCAAGACAAGCACTCTACCACTTTGAGCCACAGCTCCACTTCCAGCGTTTTAGTGGTTAAAGAGATAAGAATTTCATGGATTTTTCTGGCTGGGCTGGCTTTTTGAACCACAATCCTCAGATCTTAGCCTCTTGAATAGCTAGGATCATAGGCCACCAGCGCCCAGCTTGGATGATTGTCCTTTAACAACTCATTTATTCAGTCTATGGACAAATAGTAATCAAAGGTGAATTAAGGGTAAATCAATTTTGTAAGGATGTGGCTAGAAGAGTCTTTTATAAACAAAACCCCTTAATTCATATCAAATGAATGAGCTACTAAACAAGGTCTGAAGAGGCATTTCAAACTTGAGAACAGCTCAGAGAATCCATTTCTGTTTTTCACTAGCACGCTAGCAGCAGCTCTCTCAGTGCTCACTGACTCTATTTACCAATATATGCCTGCCAAAGAATACTTGGGAAGCCTCTCTCTCAGCAGCCTTAGCTGATACATCAGACTTGATTAGGACCATCTATGAAAAGGCAATGGGTAAAAAGTATTGTTAAATCAACTGAAGTCCTCATAGACAACCTCTGTATTTAAATTACTGAATTATATTACAATAGCCAGAAAAAGTGACATCAAGTCACAAAAGACATTTAAAAGACATTTCAGTTTCATTCTTAGAATATATTAGTGCATCTGATTAGAACTGTTAAATATTACAAAAGACCAGTATGACAATAAACAGAAAATAATCAAATATTCAAGTTCTCGCTGGGCTTTGGAAATGGCTTTCTAGCAAAGTTAAGAGATGGCTCTAAGCTGGGAACTGAGGGCTCACTCCTATAAATCCTATCTGTTCAGAAGTCTGAGATCTGCGGTCGAGGTTCAAAGCCAGCCCAGGCAGGAAAGTTTTTTTTTTTGTCGGTCATGGGACTTGAACTCTGGGCCTAGGCGCTGTCTCTGAGCTCAAGTCTAGGGCTCTACCACTTAAGCCACAGCGCCACTTCTGGTTTTCTGAATGGTTTATTGCATATGAGTCTCACGGACTTTCCTGCCCAGGCTGGCTTTGAACCATGGTCCTCAGATCTCAGCCTCTTGAGTAGCTAGGATTACAGGTATGAGCCACCAGTGCCTGGCTTCTGTGAGACTCCTATCTCCAATTAACCACCAGAAAACCGGAAGTGGCTTCAAGTGGCAGAGAGCTAGCCTTGAGCAAAAGAGGGCTCTGAGTTCAAGCCCCATGACCGACAAGAAAAAAAAAACTATTAAAAAATAGATTTGGGGGCTGAGGATGTGGCTTAGTGGTAGAGTGCTTGCCTGGCATGCATGAAGCTCTGGGTTCTATTCCTTGGTACCACATACACAAAATAAAATGCATCTGCACTGTGTACAGGCTAAAAAGAAATAAAAAATAATTTTAAGCCAAAGACAGCTACTGACCTTTATCCAAAGTTTCCCATTATCTACCAAGCTTTTCATGTAGTTATTAATTACCACAGCAACTACATTGTACATGCTAGCTGAGCTATTCCTAGAAAGTTTTCTTGCGCTCACTGGTGAACTTGTTTTGCTAGTGTTAGTTTAAGACTTGTGCAGTTCTCTTCTTAAGTGTAAGTTGTCTGTGGTCTCTTTCTCAATCTTTTTTGTTCTGAAGTCACATTCACCTCAAAGAGCTGTTTAAAGTACAACTTATGGACACTGTATTAGAAACAGTACAATTCTGAGGTACGGGAAACTAGGGTGACAGAAAGCTGAAGCCTTCAGCTTTGCGGATGGGGCTGACGGCGAACCAGCCTGGAGCCTGGAGGAAGCTGTGGTCAGGAAGACGAGCAAGGGAGCAGGACCCACCTCCCCAGAGGCTGGCGACACAGAGAAGAGCCAGCTCTGAATACCCCAGGGAGAGCAGCAAAGTATTCAGTTGAGAAGTAATTTACAAAATGAAGAATATCAAACAGTAACAAAACAAACTCATCAAATAAAAATTGGTAGGGTAAGAAAGTTCTGCAGTACACAGAAAGTCTTCTTTGGGGGGAAGAGAAGACGGAAGAGAGTGCTAGCTCTTTGAAGTCAGGTCCTCATGCTTTCCAGACATGGATTCTACCATGGACCAGGCTACATCCCAGTGCTTTCTGCTTTAGGTGTTTGATGAATATGGTCTCCAGTTTAGCCAGGAGGCTTGGACTGTGGTCCTATTTATGCTACTCAGGTAGCTCACTGGCCAGGCACATACCACCCCCTCCAGCTTTCACTGTTGAAGGGGTCTTATGAACTTTTTTGCCTCGCTGGCCTCAAACTATGATCCTCCTGATCTCTACCTTCTAAGCAGCTAGGATTACAGGGAAGAACTACTATGCCTGAGTCTTGTTTTTCACAAATAGCCAGTGGAAGCTGATGCAGATTTCCAACTGGAAATATGTCTTATTAATTTTATTTTCTCAGAATATACAAAAATTATAATTTGATGGAGACGAAGCATAATATAAGCATTAGTTCCTTGTATAAAAGCTGAGATTTGATAGGTATATTAAGAATAAAACAAAAAAACATCTGATACCTTTTCTTTAACAAGGAGTCACAGTATCGAGCCAGCAACTCTGGGGATTTACTGGATGACTGCGCCATTTTGGTAACCGCATTGTTGTTTATGAAGCGACCACAAGCCTGTGTCATATAAAGGACAGTTAGAGAATAATGTCCCATCCACACACACCGGAGGAAGTTATAACTGCAACATGCCTACCTTATCAAGTGCAGCCACAAAGCCAGCATCATTGTTAAATGCCGACATCACCAGGGCGTTGTATTTTTTATGAACATCCAGCACAGTCTGTACATACATTTTAGGGTCCTTAGTGGAAAAAACAGAAACTAAAGTTGGGAACTAAATTGTGTACATTAATGTTTCTCACAAATTCTACAATTGTTAAAGGATTAGATATATCTTCAAAGAAATTAGTGAATATAGTCAGAAATGCTTTTGGTTCTACCACTGAAACACAGGACATCAATATTTATAAAATAATATAAAACATTCTCAGGCTCAAAAGTAAATACTGAGCTGGGTGCTGGTGGCTCACACCAGTAATCCTAGCTACTCAAGAGGCTGAGATCTGAGGATCGAAGTTCAAAGCCAGCCTGGGTAGCAAAGTCTGTGAGACTCTTATCTCCAATAAACCACCAGAAAACTGGAAGTGGCACTGTGGCTCAAGTGGTAGAGCGCTAGCCTTGAGCTGAAAAGCTGAGGGACAGCACCCAGGCCCAGAGTTTAAGCCCCACAACCAACCAACCAACCAACCAACCAACCATAAATAAATAAATAAATAAACCTAAATTAAAAACAACAAAAACTCAAAAGGATCATGCAAATTAAAAGTGTTAAGTGACAGCTTTGCTAACCAATTCTTTTGTTGTTAAAAAATTCAAGTGCTGAACAAGAGATTTTTTTCTTTTTTGCTATTTTTGTTTTGTCTGTTAATATCTTTGGGAGTGTAAGGGGAGCACAGGATTGGAGAGACAAAGGGTAACATGCAGCAATGGTACTCATTGGATGCTACGTTGAAAATTAACTATACAATTTATGGGTGGGAATGGGAGGGAAAAACTGGGAGAGAGAATGGGAAGGGGTGACACTGTTCAAAAAGAAATGTACTCTTTATGTGACTTATGTAACTGTAACCCAACCCCTCTGTATATCACCTTTATAATAACAATAAACATTTTTAAAAATTCAAATGTTGGACTCCGTTCTGGACAGTGAGACTGACAATCTAGAAGTCAGTAGTCTGAATGGGACGGGGAGGTCTGAGCGCATGCATTCACAATGGGAGCTGACACAGAGCTGGACAGGCACTGGAACTTGGCCCATCTGGGCCACAGGGAGCTTCCAGACAAAATGACAATTGGAAAGGAAATGTAAGGATTGGCACTGTGGGAGATGATGCAGTGCCAGATAGGCTGGTATTGGTGTGGGGCAAAGGAGACAAAGCTCAGGGATGGTAGGATCACCACAGGCAGTATAACACAAGCACTGCGTCTATCCCCATTGTATAGATGAAGAAACCAAGGCACAGGTTAAGCCTCTTGCCATGGGTAAGAGGTTGCAGGACCAGGCAAGGACCCAGGCAGGGGCGCCTACGTCTGACGAGTTCTCTACCACTTGGAAAAGGGTCCAGGTGCCCCAGCAGGACACGCAGCACAAGCTGAGCCCACCCCCAGGCCTGGGCAGTCCTGATGCCCAACTGACAGTGGAACAGGAGGAAGGCCAGAGGCGTCCGATTCTCCCATCACAAGCCAAAGGCTGCAGGTGCAGGAACGGAAACGTTCCACTCATGTCTTGCTTTTGAAATAGAAACTCGTTGTGCAACCCAGGATGGCCTCAAATATATGATCCTCCTGCCTCAGCCTCTGAGTGCCGAGGTATACCCCACTATGCACGGTGTAGAATACTTGATATAGTTACATGCAGTATTAGGAATGAGAAACCAGAACCCCCGAAATTCCAATTATTCTGCATTTTTCGTAACATTTTGCTTGTTTATAATTAATGAGTAGTAAGATTACAACCCTATCACTAAAACAATCAAGGTTTTCTGTAAGTAAAAAACAATAAATAAATGTAAGGAGTATTATGATGATGAATATATTGTGAAATGTTAAGAATTTTATAGTCTTGGGGCTGGGAAGGTGGCTCAGTGGTACAGCGCTTGCCTTGCATGCCTGAGGCCCTGGGTTCGATTCCTCAGCACCACATAAGCAAAAAGAAAAAAGCCGGAAGTGGCGCTGTGGCTCAAGCGGTAGCCCAGAGTTCAGGCCCCACGACCGAACCAAAAAAAAAAGAATTTTATAGTCTTAACTTCAAGACTGTGGCGCATGCCTGTAATCCCAGCTACTCAGGAGATGCAGAGAGGACGGTGTTTTGAGGCAAGCCTGGGAAAAAAGGTAGCATGGCTCTAGCTCAAAAAAGGCCAGATGAAGCCACCTGTTATCCTAGCTACACGGGAAGCTGAGGTCTGAGAATGGTGGTTTAAAGCCAGTCTGGGAGGAACATCTGTGAGGCTCTTATCTCTAGATGATCACTAAAAAAAAAAACACTACAAGTGGAGATATAGCTCAAGTGGTAAAATACTAGCAAAAAAGCTCTGTGACAGAACCTAGACCCTGAGTTCAAGCCCCAGGACTGGCACACACATACAAAAAAGGCTATGTGGGGCTGGGTGCCAGTGGCTCATACTGTAAACCTAACTATTCAGGGGGCTGAGATCTGAGGATTGTGGTTTGAAGCCAGTCTGGTCAGAAAAGTCCCCATGAGGCTTTTACCACCAAATAATCACTCAAAACTGGAAGTGGAGCTGTGGTTCAAAGTGGCAGAGTGCTAACCTTGAGCAAAAGAGCTCAGGGTCAGAGCCCAGGCCCTGCCTGAGTTCAACCCCTGCCCCCTCTCCCCCAAAGGCTATGAGTGGTTTTACAGGTCTATAATCCTACATACACAGTGGTAGTGGGTGGGGGAAGGTAGGATTGTGGTCCAAAGCTGGTCTAGGTACAAACAGAGGAAAACCCTATCTATAAAACAAACTAAAGCTGGGTGCTCATGGCTCATGCTTGTAATACTAGCTACTGGAAAGGTTAAGATCTAGAGGATCTTGCTCTGAAGCCAACCTGGGCAGAAAAATCTGGAAGATGCTATCTTTAAAAAACAAACAAAAAAAACCCCCAAAACTAAAACATACACATAAAACCCAGCAGAAAGCAGGGTAAAGGTGTGGCTCAAGTTGTACAGTCCCAGCCAACTAAGTGCAAGCCCTGGTACACCAAAAAAAAAAAAAAAAGAAAGAACGAAGAAAAGAAAAGTAACAAGCAAAAAGGGAAGAGGTATGGCGTAAGGGGTAGAGCACTTGTCTAATAAGCATCATGAGTTCAATGCCCAGGACTGAGCCTTCCCCTCAAAACAAAACCCTCCTCCAAAAACAACAACAACAACAAAAAGCCCAAAAGGATTGCTATTAGTTTACTGAGAAATGAAAATATTTCTTGGGATTACATCTGAAACATTTGTGGGGTTTAAGTTGTAACATCAACAGCATTATCAAATAGCTAATTGTTTCGGGAGATAAAAAAGGGTAAAAACCTATTACAGGGCCAGATACCCATGGCATTCTGCATTTTTTTTAAATGATCATGGGAAGGTATGGTCCCTGCTTTCAAAGTGCTCTCCAAGTATGTGGGGCCCAGTCTCTTTGTATGCATTTATACAGGTTATATTTCTATAAATGCTTACTATATTGCCAGCAACAAACATAATTTTCCTTTGGCTTGTTAATGCAAGCACACACAGGTTTTTGATTTACCAAAAAGGCAGAATGTCTCATAACGTAAAACATGCTAACTCAGTTTGCTACCCCTTTCTCTTTCCAATCTAAGTCAAGCATCGGGTAAATTTTCCTATAAAAAAATTATGCTACCTTTGCTCTGCTCTAAACCAGTTTTGAATCTTCTATTTGAATCTCTATATGTGTGTGTGTTTGTAAATACATACACATCAAGCATCTCATATCCCATTCGTTCTGCAGCACAGCAGTGGGGCATGAGTGTCCCACCCCAAGGTGAGGCTGGACAGGGTTCTTCAAACACACTGGGCTCTTGCAGGTATGTATGACAGGCCCACACCAACCACCTCCATGTTATGTACCCAGGGAGGCTGATGGAGGTAACCCTGTTGTTCCCAGAGGGCTGGCTTATGTCTGGCAGGGTGTTACACATCCAAAAACAGCACATGAGTGCAGGGTTCTTCCTGCACTGCAGGGCAATGCCAGCTGTCATCAGGTGCTGGGAGTGAGGCACCACGGCAAACTCCCCCCATAACCTTTCCTTCTTAATGGTCCTAACCATTTGAAAAAGCCTTAATGGAAGTATCTAACCACTACAAATCTGCTTGAATCACATCATAAAACCTGCAATAACTTTAATCTAGGTCAGGCATCAATTAGCAGTACAACTGGTTTTCTCACCAAATTATTCTAGATAAACAGAATCACAGAATGACCAGATAAAGAACCTTACTTGGGTCTCTTATTTAAGAACACTCTGGGTATTAACATATGGCAGAATAGTACAAAGTAAGGAGACAGGACTAACATGAAGAAACTCTTTTGCCCTTAAACGTTCAATTATAACAGAGTGCTTTCTTGGTATAAAATACACTCATCAGAACCAATTCTCTTATGCTATGACCCAATTCAACTGGGCAAAGGTTTCCAAAGTTTAAAAACCATGTTCTCACAGTTCTCAAATCTCATCAAAACTTTTATATAATAATTGTGATTTTAATTCAAACAACTTTTTGCTGCTGTTTAATATTCATGAGGCAAACCATATGGTTTGACTTACTACTCAGATCAAAGTTACTGAGAGGCACAACTTAAGCCACTACAAGTACTAGTGGCCGAACATACATTCCTAGGATTTCTTTCTTTCTTTTTTTTCTGGTGCTAGTCCTGGGGCTTGAACGCAGGGCCTGGGTGCTGTCCCTGAGCTTCTTTTGCTCAAGACTAGCACTTTACCACTTGAGACACAGCATCACTTCTGGCTTTTTGGGTAGTTAAATGGAGATAAAAGTCTCATGGACTTTCCTTCTCAAGCTGGCTTCAAACCATGATCTTCAGATCTCAACCTCCTGAGTAGTTAGAATTACAGGTATGAGCCATGGGCCCAACAGCTTTCTATGGAAGCAATAGGCAATAGGGAAAAGAGATAAATGGGAAGAGTAAGTTGACATCCCCAATGCCCAAAAGATGCCAGAGAATGATTTATAGAGATATTTGCTAAACAAAAAAATGTTTGTGAACTTGCTACTTCAAAACCCCAAAATAGATTTCCTATGGGAATTTTAGCAACATCTTTGTTGTTGTTGGTTGTGGGGCTTGAACTGAACTCAGGTCCTATACACTGTCCCTGAGTTTTTTCGCTCAAAGCTAGTGCTCTACCACTCTGAGCCACAGTGCCACTTCCTTAGCAACATCTTGATTGCTTGGATTTCATGTGGAGAAGCACAACACATAGTTGCTGCTGTACACGAAAAGTTAATTTGTTATTCAATCAAGGATTACTTACATTTAATGCGGCTTCGCCACACTTCTCAATTGCTGCAAGACCCTGATTATGAATGTGTGTTTCCAGCAGTTTTTTCAATTCTCCTAGGCCATCCTGGATTCTAGATACAAGATTATACATACGGCCCAAATCTGAAAGAGATGGTCACCTTTATGCACAGAAACCAACTGTATATACCTATTCTGCTAATTATATATTTATACTGGGATGAGATCATGTAAAATAAGCTGAATGTTATTAGCTCTTACTAATCAAAAGTATACACAATATTTTATACATGATTATACTTTTCTAAAAGTAATAGAAATTACGCTATTATAGACATTGATTTTCCCCCTTTATTATGTGCATCCACTAGCATAGGAATAGAAAAAAGGTTTTATTTTTGGTCTGTCATAATGCTTAAACTCAGGGTTTGGGCTCTGTCCCTGAGCTCTTTTGCTCAAGGGTAGTGGTCTATCCCTTTGAAACATAGCCCCACTTCAGATGCTTAATTGGAGGTAAGAGTCTCATCGATTTTCCTGCCTTTTAACTACAGTCCTCAAATCTGGCTTTGAACCACAATCCTTAGATCTCAGCCTCCTGAGTAGCTAGGATTCTAGGTGTGAGCCAGCAGTGCCTGGCTTAGAAAAATGTTTTTGGAGGGATTTTTTTTGGGTCAGTACTAGGGCTTGAACTCAGGGCCTTACATTCTCACTCACTTTTTTTTTTTTTTTAAATTATTGCTAGAGCTCTAACCACTTGAGCCACATCTCCACTCCTTGCTGGTTAATTGGAGATAAGATTCTTTGGAGCCTGGGCTGGCTCCAAACAACTATTTTCAGACCTCAGCCTCCTGAGTAGCTAGGATTCTAGGTTATAATTCACTGGTACCAGGAAGAACAAGATTTTTCGTAATTAGAAACTACATTTAATGCTTTTTAAAATCCTCAAGATTGAGCTGTTGTTTACATTTGATGAATAAGCATTCAAACATTTACATTGAAGTGTGAATACACTTAAGGAAAATGTACTCAGTTTTTTCAACTATTCCAAATGTGGAACAAAAGGGCCTCCAATTCTTTATTCTTTGTTTGTTTAACTTACGAGGGTCCAACATAAAAGACCACAAATCCAAACATCAATGAGTTTAGTTCCTAAGGATTAAGGGAAAGCAATTAGAGGAAATATAAAACAGCTTATGTTATCACTAGCTTATATTAGTTATACATTCCCATATGTTTGCAATGTATTTCTATCTATCTCAACCCCTCTATATCTTTCCCTTTCTTATCTTCCTTCCTTAATCATTCAACAGGTTTCTTTGTTCTATCTTCATAGATGCAGACAATGTACCCTGATTGTAATCAACCTCCTTGTTAGCCCCAATACCCTCTAGACAGTAATGCTCCATAGAGCTTGTTTCTTTCCCTGCCCTTTCCTCTATTGATCAACAGTTTTCACTGAGGTTCTTTAGGCTGTAAAACGGAAGTGTGTTCTTATATCTTGGGGAGCTTTCAAAGGAGGAACTCAGAAACATTACAAGTAAAACCATTTAACATTAACGTGTATGGGACCAATTATAATCCAAATTAAATCAGAGAGATGTTTGTCCTCCACTTGTTCATGAAACACTCCCCCTGGGAGCACTAGTGGCTCATGCCTGTAATCCTAGCTACTCAGGAGGCTGAGATCTAATGATCACAGTTTGAAGCCAGGCCAAGCAGGAAAGTCTGTGAGACTCATCTCCAATTAACCACCTGAAAAAACTGGAAGTGGAGCTGTGGCTCCAAATGGTAGAGTGCTAGCCTTGAGCTCAGGGACAGCACCCAGGCCCTGAGTTCAAGCCACGTAGTGGACAAAAAGCCCCACTACTTACAAAAAACAAACAAACCAAAACAAAACAAAAAAACCCACTGCCCAGAAACCTGAAATAATTCTGTAACAAGGCCCATACAAGGTATTTTTACAAAACATGCTAGCGCTGGAGATGCTAACTCAGAGACAAGAATTTCAAATGATTCCCACACTTCAGATTATAGAGAGCACTTATGAGGAGTCTTAATAGCTTACCTTCATTCTTGTCAGCATCCAGCAAATTCTGGAACTCTGTGTGGAAAATCTCCAAGTGTTTTTCGATGAGGACCTGTTCACATTTCCTTGCTAGTTCATCCTGTGTGCTCTCATGAAGATAAACCTGTACTCTTCGCTGTTCCTCAAGCAGACGAGCCTCTGCCTGCAGAAAATTATGTGAATAATAGCAAATTCAGTTCACAAATCTGCTCCAATACAATATGATTCAGGAAAAAAAAAGGCAAGAGGCTTTCTGATTTTAGGTAAATGCTAACCATATTTAAATAGCCACTGATATATTCCATTTTTTCTCTGTAATGTGTATGCTTCAATTCTTCTTTAAAATGCTATCGTAACCAGTTCAAACATCTTCAACATTAATTTTTTCCTTAAGTGATATTTCATCCTCAGAGGACAACATGCCACCTCCTGACCCTCTGAGAAACCTGTAAGTTCTCTTCTACATGTTACAAAGTTCTACATCTAACTGAAATAGGCCTCAAGTCAAGGATCACATCAGCATAATCCTAGGAAAGAGCCCTTAGTAATAAGACTCTAAAAATTAAACAACAACACAACTATTACCAATCACTGAATATGTACATATCTCAAATCTACTGGGTTATTTATACATCTCAACTTCTTGTTTCCCTCCATGGAAGACAGAAAAACAGGCAACTTAATACAGCAGCAAAATGAGTGTCAGTATATATTAGAATCCATCACAAAAATAAACATGTTTGGTGTGAAGAGTTACTTAGGAATCACCAAATCACCAAAGCAAGACAAAAATTTCACTAATAAACTCAAATTATCCAGGTGATCTGAACAAATATAGACAAAAAAAATTACATTTTGAATTGTAAAAACTCTAATACTCTCCAAATGATTTTCAGATTTGGTATAATCTTAAGACATATCTGCAAAATTCAACAGCCAAGAAAACATGAGCAACTAATTAGGCAGCTTTGCATAATCAGTTGCTGCACCATACAGAGAGGTTACTGTCTAATTATACACTCTATCGAAAGGCCTAACCAAGAGAAATAAGTTTGGACACTATCTACAGTATATATCAAAAGCCCAGTACCTGGGCTGGGAAGGTGGCTCAGTGGTAGAGCGCTTGCCTTACATGCCTGAGGCCCTGGGATCGATTCCTCAGCACCGCATAAGCAAAAAGAAAAAAGCCAGAAGTGGCGCTGTGGCTCAAGTGGTAGAGCTGAAGAGCTGAGGCACAGTACCTAGGCCCAGAGTTCAGGCCCCATGACCAGACCCCCCCAAAAAAACAAACAAACAAAAGCCCAGTACCCTTAACATACAATAGTCTCTAGCAAGTCAATATACATTTATCCAAATGAAAAAATTGAGAAGGGAATAATTTACAAATATATAATAAAAACTTGACTTTTGTTCAATTTCCAGTAAAATTAATTTAATTAATTTACAAAATTAAAATGTGCTGGGTTGGGGGCATGACCCAAGAGGTAGAGTGTCTGCCTGGCAAGAGCAAGGTCCTACAAGAGCAAGTTCAAACCCCAGTGCTGAAAACAAAACAAAACCAATAAAATGTTCTAAAATAGGCTGGGAATTGTGGCCTTGTGGTAGAGTGCTTGCCTAGCATGCATGAAATCCTGGGTTCAATTCCTCTGTACCATGTAAACAGAAAAGGCCAGGAGTGGTGCTGTGGCTCAAGTGGTAGAGTGTTAGCCTTGAGCAGAGAGAGGCTCAGGGACAGAGCTCAGGCCCTAAGTTCAAGCCCCACAGCTGGCAAAATTTTTGTTCTAAAATAAGTTACAATGTATTTGGGAAGTGAAATATCACTATCCACCAGATTAAAATACTTACATACATGTTAACAAATCATTAATGAAAAAGGTTACAAAAAAATCTGTAGCCTCATTCCAAGCTGCTTCACACCCATAACCACTAACAGTGCCCCACGCCTTCCATGTTTATATCATCTATAATCTTTCAGAACATCTATAACTAATGTGTAATTTTGTTTGTCTTCCAAGAATCCTTGTGCACATGAACCCAGAAGTGCTATGTTGATGTCTGCTGCTGCATTTCTGTGTTTCAATAACTCTGATACCTCAAAAGGCTGACGAGAACATGCAAACCAAATAGCATTACTTTTTCTGCTTCATGTTACACATGTTTCTTGGAAAAGTATCACTCTGAGCAGCAAAACAAACTTTTACCCCTTCCCAAGAGGAAAGATTAGCATGTTGGTGTTACTGATGATTCATTCTGAGTACTACTGGCTTTCTTCCTTTTTAGCTAGAAAAAGTAGTTGCTTTCTCCAGATCTTTACTGCATGGGGTGAGAAGCAGGTACCTACATGATTAGGGACCCATTGTGGCCAGAAGGGCTTCCAACATAGCTTATTTCATATATTGATTGGTAAAGAAACCAAAGTCCTGAGTGTTTCATTAGGTTTTTGAAAGGACAGCCATGGTTTTTAGAGCTCAAATTAGTCTCAATCACATGAAGCAGTATATTTTAATAATACTAACATGGGGGCTGGGAAGGTGGCTCAGTGGTAGAGCACTTGCCTTGCATGCCTGAGGCTCTGGGTTCAATTCCTTAGCACCACATGAGCAAAAAGAAAAAAGCCAGAAGTGGCGCTGTGGCTCAAGTGGTAGAGCACTAGCCTTGAGCTGAAGAGCTGAGGGACAGTGCCCAGGCCCA